GATGGTCTTGTAGTTGCTCACCTATATTTGTTACCCAGGTTGGTTGGTTTGTCCTATCTGCTTGTTGTGTCTTTTTCTCTAGAGTGTAAACTCTTTGAGACAATGACCTTCACTTACTGTGTTTGTAGAGTGCCTCGCACAATGGAGACCTGACATAGTTGGCCTCTAGGTATTCCCAAAATGTAAACATCGTATTCACCATCTTAATACATTCCAATCAAATCTTATGCTTCAGGGCTTCAGCCTGCAGTGGTCAGGAAGACTTCCCATGTGGTGCTCCCCCCGCCCCCAAATACACAGTTGATCTAATTAATTGGGCGGGGGGTTGTTTTGTTTTTTGCCTACCTCTGAAGTATCAGGTTGGACACCCAACACTGTGGGGTGGGGCAGTGCTCTGAGATGGCCCAGAGAATTCTCTTTCTTAGATCCCAGGCTGGTTTGTCTTGCTCACAGACAGACTGACTGCCACATTTGGGGTCAGGGAGGAATTTGCCCCTAGGTCAGATTGGCAGGGGCTTTGGGGTTTTTCGGCATTCCTCTGCAGCATGGGCGTGGATCATCTCCTAGGATCATCTGGGCCTCTTTTGCCTATTCAGTCCCCTACCAGTGCAGGGACCTCGGATGTTGGTGGCACCCAGGTCTCTTCTTTTCTTTGTCTGTGGCACACAACAGTTTAGTCTCCCAAGGACTGAAATGCTTTAATCTAACTAAAGTAATTAGGTTCAGCAGGAGGGGGCATCTGGGTGAAATTTAAAGGCCTGTGATGGACAGAAGGTCAGAATAGATGAGCTAATGGCTACTTCTGGCCTTAAGCTCTGTGAAATCTATGTTTAATAATGATAGTTAAGGCACAGGAATGGGGATCAGGAAGACTGTGTTCTATTCCTGACCTCCGCCACTGACTTGCTGTGAGACCTTGGGCAAGTCACTTCACCTCTCTGCACCATGGGTTCCCGTCTGTCAAACGGGATAATAATGCTGACCTATTTTTCTTGGCTGTGTGGCTTGTTGAAGTGTTAGTCTTTCAGACCTCAGCATAGAAGGTGCTGTAGACGTGACGAGTATTGTAAAACTGACACTGATGTCCTTCCTAGTCTTAAAGACCTCAGTCCTTCCTGAGATTAAATTTTGCAGAAAAGTCTAATTAGAGTGATCCCTGAGCCACCGTTCTTATTTCTTTTAGGCTGGTCAGGTAGAGGTACCTTTTGTCTGAGTCAGAAAGACAAAGTGTAGGTGATGGTGGTTTGCAAATTGTTGGTGATGGTGATTTGCAACTGTGCTTTTGAATTTCACATGAAAGGAGTGATTGGAATTCTGTCTGCTCCTCCTAAAATGGTCAAAACTCAAGGTGCATCACGCTCTAAAACTGAGCTTTCCTGGTCTGTTGGGTACTCTACTGTGCCGTGTGGGAGACTGGCTTTAATTTGTTTGCTTGGTCCTTCATTTCTGGGTTCCACAGAGCTGTGGGGGAAACAGGCTTCGGCCTGGAAGGGAACATAAGGACCTTGCATTGTTTAACAGCAACAATTCCTTTTCTGATTACTTGTATCTATGAGGAGTTTCTTCTGTAGTCTCTAAATCTGTGGCACTAAGGAAAAGGAAATCCTGAGGGTAGGACATTATAAGTGAAATATGGACCATCCCAACTGAGAAAAATTCCAGGGAGGGGATGGAGAAGAGGTTGAGTTTGTCGGGACACAGAAATGTTGGTGGAGCAGGTGCATATGACTTCAGATAGGGTAAGGTGAAGAGATTCCATAGCGAAACATGGAAAGTGGGTAAAATGAACCCCACCCTAGAGTTTCGAAAGCGTCCAGCGTATAAAACACTAGAGACAGGGAACGTAAGGCAGGGTTGGGTCTCTTTTTCCAATATAACACACAGTAGCTTTTTATCACTGATTAAATATTGCAGTCGGTGTTCTAGATGCAATCTCTTCCTTTTCCGCACATGCATTTTGTCCAAAGCAAAGGACTGAAATAAATATTCTGCCCTTCGTCGGGAGTCTGTTATTATTTTCTAATTAATCTGCGTCAGTTGCTCGCACGTTTGTGTTAAATCATTTTCTTCATGAAAGCTTTTAATGAGGAAACAAGTGGATTGGATTTAGATATACTGGATTCTTGCCATTGATAACCATAGACTCGGCCCTTTAGAGTGGGCAAGCTGCCTGTGAATAGGTCATTCTGTGGCTTTCCCTCCAAAGTTGGGCTATTTCAAAGAGCCTCCTTGCGTGGGGCCAGCAGACGTCCCCTGTGTTTTGAGATTTTTATCTGTGACGTTCTTCTATTAAGCAACCCAAAAGGAAGCTCCTCCGAGCATTCATCCCCTGTAGCGTGGAGGAAAGGGGGACAAAGCAGATGAAGATAGTGGCTTGGTGCAGTGTTTTTCAATGACCGGTCCATGGGGCACAGGAATTTAGACCTGGGTTCAGCTGCTGACCTGCAAGTCTGGACCCATTTCCTCTCCTTTCCCTTTTCTGTCTTGTCTATTCGGATTGTAAGCTCTTTAGGGACGGTTCCTCCCTACATGTCTGCGCAGGATCTAACGCAACTGGGGCCTTGATCTCTGTTGGGTGCTCTAGGCACTACTATATCACAAGTAATAAATGTGGCACGACCAAATATATACTAGCTGTGCTTGCACTAATGCAAGGTTTTTGACCCGGGAGTTGTGCTCTCCCTGCATTGCTCGCTGCGAGGGGTCTCCCCACTACATGGCAAAAAAGGGGTTCCCGGTTAGATTAGGGCTTGTTGGCGTGGCAAGCCCAGTTGTGACTCTCCAGCGCACCAGTTTGCTGCGCAGTAACGTGCTGTGTGGACACTGCTGTGGTGTAGCGAGCGTCCTAGTGTGCTGTGCTCTGACAGAGAGTCGGCGAAGCCGCACTCCGCAACTTTTGCCGCGCTGCTGCAGTGTCCACCTGGGACGTTCCCGCACAGCCAGTGGATGTGCTGTAGGTTCCTGTCCTTGCTCGTGGCGCAGTAACTTGCCGTGTGAACGAGCCCCGAGAACGGCCGCATTAGAGAACTGAAGTGCTGTGCGGGGATGAGTTTTAACAACCTGACAGTTGTGTAGCGCTTGATTGGATGGTGCTAAAGAAGGGCAAATAATAAGGCTTCGTTTTTGTCTAATTCCATCCTCTTTCTGTCCATTGCACAATGGCACTGGGGCTACAGATGCCGGGAGAGATTTATGTATCAGGGGGTAGCCGTGTTAGTCTGTATCTACAAAAACAACAAGGAGTCTGGTGGCACCTTAAAGACTAACAGATTTATTAGGGAGAGATTTAGTTTCAATAAATATGAAGTCCTGTGTCTAGGGCAGGGTGGGGCAGAATAAACGACACAGGTACAAAATGGGGGCGGTACAAAAAGAGGCTGCTTTGTCGTGAGTTTATTCATCTAATTTCCTTATTACTGTTCCCCCATTTAAATTAGTTTGTTCATGTAACCGAGCACCGTAGTTACAACAAGGAAGGTGTGAGATGTGGGGTGGTGGTGGTGGTTGTGAGGCTGGGACAGGAGAGATCCTGGAAAAGTCTCTGGGCTTTTAAGAAATGATCCATAATATGAAAAGGTTTAGGAGCTTCTGGAATCAAATCGTCCTCGACTCAGGGTCTTTACATGATACGGAATCTCAAGAAGGCCAATTAGCTTCTCCTGAGGGATCCTTTGCAAGAAGCACATTTTGGACGCTTACCGAATCCCTGGCCATGTGTCTGGCATTATTCTTCCCTCTGTCTGTTGCCCGCCAGAGTGGAACAAATAATTAAGATGATAACGTATTGTGACGGGTTTCCCCCGGGGTGCCACCTGTAACTGGGATACCACTAAGCCCCCTGACCCACCAGCCTGGGCTCCCTCTCACACTGTACTGCCGTGACAAGCTGCAAAGCCCTCCAGCCGCACTTTCACCAGCATTCACACAGCTGCAGGCTTTCTAACCATCTGGGACCCCAGAGCGGTACCGTCCTGCCCTGGCCAAATCTGGGCAGTATATGGGTTTAATACCCGGTCCGACTCTCCCTCAATGTGAAGAGAACAATGAACACGTGTGGTAACCAAGCAGAGACTTCCCCCAAGCACTCCAGTCAAAGCTCACTGGTTTAGATTAAAACAAAAACAAGTTTATTAGCTACAAAAGATAGATGTGATGTGATCATAGTGATAGCAAACCGATCAAAGCAGATTACCTAGCAAATAAACAAAAACACAAACTGAGCAGAATATACTAAATAGATAGGGTGAGAACCTGCTATTCATATCCAAACTGATGGTACAGGCAGACTTGTAGATTCTCAAGGCACGATGCTTTACAGCTTGAAATGCCCAGGTGTTTCATCCACAGGCTAGAAATCCCTTTAGCCTGGGTCCAGCACTTCTCCCACTTCAGTCTTTGTTCCTCAGGTGTTTCCGGGAGTCTTCTTGTGTGGGGAGTGAAGAACCCCTGATGATGTCACTCCCCCCCTTATATAGCTTTTGCATATGGCGGAAACCCTTTGTTCCAAAGCTTGGTTCCCAGACCGGTCTGTGGAAAAATACTGACATCCCAAGATGGAGTCCAGCATTATGTGGCCTGGTCACATGTCCTTGTAGAGTCATAGCAGCCATCACTCACAGTCTGTCTGCAGGCTCACCAGGTGGGAGAAAAGCTTCTCCTTCGGCCTGTTGTTTTCCCTAATGGCTCATTGCCCTGAATAGGCCCTTCCCAATCAGCTATCTAGACTGACAGCATCTTGTCTAGTGGGCATTACCCAGGTTTAACTACATTTGAAATACAGATACATAGTCAATATTCATAACTTCAGATACAAAAACGGTACATGCATTCAAATAGGATAATCATATTCAGCAAACTGTAACTTCTCCAATGGCACCTCGCATGACTTGACTTGCATAAAATGCATCATAATTATGCCCAAACCATATCCTAATAATATCACTATAAAGATTACGGGGTGCAGTGTATGTTTATGCCTGTTCTCTTTTCTTGTCTTGCAGGTACCACTTGGAATTTCTGCCCCGAGGTGAGTGCAGCTTATCCATTCTGAGTGGCAGGGCTTGTCATTGGTTTGATTGGGCCCCAGTGCAAGATTAGCAGGTGGGGAGCCTTAGCCACTCAGCATGAGAGGGGTGGCAAAGTTGTGTGAGGGGTTGGCAGAGGGTGGGGCTTTGGGAGCAATCAGCACTGCTTTTCCCGGATTCACGGGACAGGTCTCTAGCCGTGTATGGTGCTGGCCAAGATGCCCGGTCTACACACGCTGGGGGCAGGCCCAAGAATGGCTTGTGCAAGTGTTAAGTGACCTCCAGAGAACATTTCCATTGGAGAGACAGCATGGCCTTAGCGGATAAGGCATGGGACTGGAGCCAGGATGCCTGGGTTCTATTCCCAGCTCTGCTATGTGACCTCGGGCATGTCACTTCCCTGTTGGGTGCTTCTGTTTTCCCACTCTGAGGGTCTTTTTTAGATTTTTAAGCCCTTCAGGGCAGTGACTGTCTCTTATGTGTAGTAGCATAACGTGGCCACGAGCCGCTACTGTATCACTAATAACGATCTCAACCCCGATGGGTACCTGCGCGTTGAGAGCAACAGGAGTAGGTAGTTACTTCTGCCTATCCAGTGGAATTGTAACTGGAATGTCTCCTAATTGAATTGGTCCCCTTGTCTCTCACGCCTATCTTTACAATCTGTGCAGTACTTAGTACTGATCCCGGATCCAGATCCTTTAGGTGGTACCAGAATACAAATTAATAATAGTGTGTGTGTGTGTGTGTGTGTGTGTGTGTGTGTTTTATTTCAATGATTACTGTGGTACGTGTGTGCAAACACAAGAATCCACCAGCATTCCGGCAAGATGGGTGCTGGGGCCATAATACTACCAAAAAAAATAAAATAAAATAAAAACCATGTGAGCATTCCCACTCAGCTCATCCTTCATTTGCTCCAGATAGAAATTCCAGTACGTTACCTCCTCGATCAGGGCCCACTTCCAAAGCATCCTGTCTGTCTGGCAGCCCAGAAGTGCGGCAGCATTGCAATTCCCACTAGAACCGTGTTATCACATTTTAATATGAGCCTCAGTGCTTCTAATTGCTTTCAAACCATTGTTTTCGTGGGTTTGGTTGATGAACCTAGCATCTGGCGTCATTCGAGAAAGTACAGCAGACAGCTGTGTTCAAAATTAGAAAAAGACGAGAGGATTAGAACACATAAAAGGGCTCAAAATTAGATTTTTTTGTGTGGGGGGCGGGGGGGAGAAGTTCACACAGTTTAAAAAGGGTGGGGGCAAAAATGCTTCCAAGTGCTCTTGTTCTCATCAACTGTTCACTTTTTTTGTTAATGCCACTGCAGGGTTTTGGCTTGGTTTGTAGAACAGGGCCAGATTTCCAAAAGGAATGTATATGCTTTAAGCTCGGAACCTTAACTCACAGCAGTGGAATTTACAAAAGCACTGATGTATCTTCAGGTGCCTACGTGACGTTGTAAATCTGACCCCCCGTTTGGGGAAGGGTCATTAACCTGAGAGAAGGTATTAAGGAGACCGCAGGGGCTGGTGGTTCAGTCGAGGGCCTGGGAATCACCTGCCCTGACTCCAGTTTGCTTTGTGACCTTGGGCAAGTTTCTTGGGGGGAGGGATAGCTCAGTGGTTTGAGCATTGGCCTGCTAAACCCAGGGTTGAGTTCAATTCTTGAGGGGGCCATTTAGGGATCTGGGGCAAAAATCTGTCTGGGGATTGGTCCTGCTTTGAGCAGAGGGTTAGACTAGATGACCTCCTGAGGTCCCTTCCAACCCTGACTTTCTATGAGCTTTTTTGTGCCTAAATTTGCCTATTCAGAATATGGGTTTATAATACTTTGACGTGCTTTGATGTACTTCCATAGTCTTCTAAATGTACCTCATTACCATACAATGGGCTCCATTGGTTAGACCAGGGGACTGGGTGGGTTTTATTCCCCTTCACTGCTGTGTGACCTAGTAGAGAGGCCCAACCTTTCTGTGCCTCCCTGTTTTTTTTTTTCCCCTCGCTGCCAAATGGAGTGCTAATAGCAAACCCCCATAAAGTGCTTTGGGCTGAGTGTTCCAAGGCCAAGTGCTGGAGACGTCCCAAGTATTCCTCTCCTTGGACTCTGTTGTTTTTGGAACGCTTTACCCATGTGTCCCGGAACACATGAAGGAACGTTTAGAAAGTCAATTCATTGATCAATGGTCCTATTAGAAACCCAGAGCCTTGAAATAATGGCCCTGGAGGGGCGGAGTCTGGTTCTAAGAAACAGTCAGGATTTTGCATGCCACAGGAAGCTCTTGGGGAACCTCCGTATAGGGTTTGAGTGCTCTGAAAGGTTTCTAGCGACTACCCTTTTCAAAGAGGAGGAGCAATGCTCCGTGAGCTTTCAGGCAGTTACAGCTTCGAACGCCTGAAGCCAACAAAACTTGTTGGCCTCTAATATGGACTGGCTGAAATTCCCAGAGCGGTTGAAGGTGGAATGCGGATCTGGCACTACTAATGTGTTCAAGGCAACTTGTGCAAGATGTAGCTGAATATGGGGGAAGTTGTGTGATTCAGAGGGCCTAATTCACTGTCACCCAAACGATGGGTGTTTCTACCCCTCACAATGACGGCTACTCGGTATCTTTTGGCTAAGTGCTCTCTGCTTAGAATACAGGGAAGGCACATCTCTTTTTTTGGAGAGGCCTGGGACGGATGGGAAGCGTTCTGTATACGCGGGCCTATATTTTTGATACGTACCTGCTGTCTTCTCTTGCAATATTTCCTTTGTGGAAACAGATGCGAGGAGGGTTGGCAGCAAAAATCCATACAGGTCATGAGTCAACTTAGTCTCTGCCTCCCACCCCCAAAGTTTTCTCTCTGCTCTTTCGGTCTCCTCTCCCCCTGCTCATTTTCCCTGCATTGAATTGTCTGCAACAGCTTGAGTGCATCAGGAACCAGTGGTCTCAGGGAACGGCAACAGGCCATTTCTTGGTACTGCAAGGGAATCTAGGAATAAATAGATAAAGGAAGGAATTGGGGGAAGGGAATAAGGAGAAGAGAGCACTGTGTAGTGTGTTCCTGTCCAGGCATGGACAAGTAGTTTCCCTCTGTGTTTTGTTTCCCCATCTATAAAATTGGGGTAATAAAAAAAAAACCTACTTATGTCAGGGAGAAGGGAGGCAGGGTTAGTCTACTCGTGTTTGTAATGTGCCTTGAGATCCTTAAGTGAAAGACATTGGAGAAAAGCAAGGATCGTTATTAAAGCCGTACATGTTGAACCAGATTTTCACCACCGTGCTCTACGTAGGTGTTTGTTCCCACAATTAAGTGCTCCCATATTGTGCTCACAGTGAATTGCTGGTGCAAATCCTAGAGTGGGGTCAGCACTTGCATACCAAGGCGATAATCCCCTTCTAATCAAGTCGGCTAGAAAGCACTCAGACTTCTAAGGACCTGAGTGTTCTCTCAAATCAGGTACTTAGGGTAGATAAGTGGTTTTCAACTGATGGTCCGTGGACCGCTGGAGGTCTGCAGACTGAGATTTCCAAAGGGGCGTGCACCTCCATTCAAAAATGTATTAGGGGTCTGCCCGTGAAAAAAGGTTGAAAACCACTGGGGTAGATGCCCCAATACTAGGATTTGCACGTGCTGTTGTATCTATGTTGTCGTTCCAAATGAAATTGAGAGCCCCGTTGTGCCAAGTCAGGCTGGAAAACGGTGGTCCCCCACCCAGGTGGAAAATTTTAGCTTGTTGGTTTTAATTTTTTTTTTCTGAACGCAGACATATTTTTCTTTAACCAAAAAAATTCTTGTTGAAAACCCAATTTTCCATTTTAAAAAGAAAAGTTTTTAAGATGGAAACTTTTAGCCAGTCCTAGTGTTGGGTGCTGTACAGGCGTGTTCTAAGAGACCGTTCTTGCCCTGAAGCGCTTAATCTAAATAGACGAAACAGGCAACAATTGGGAGAAAGCCAGGATTGTTAGCCCCAGATGCGGGACTGAGGTGCAGAGAGACACAAAGAAGGTCCCAGCTACGAACTGAGTCCAGATCACCAGAATCCCAATCCCGTGCCTTAACTACAAACCCAGTCTTTGTCCCTGTGGAAAAGCAGGGTGGAAAATTATGTTGATAAAGAGATATCAAAGCATAGCTTAAAAATTAGGGTCCGTTGTGCTCCATAAAAGGATTAGGTAAGTAACTGTGTGGAAAGTCTTTGCAGGCCACTAATCTTATAGTGTATATATTTATGTAGATTAAATGTGTAACATTTTCTCCATATCATCCCTACTTATTTTGGCTTGGCTCCGCACTACTTTATGGGTCACTGAATGTTCACTGGTTCATGCAGGAGGTATGTATAGCGGAGGCATGCGCACAGCGTCTTTCATTAACTAACTGGCGCTCTACAAAGGCTTCCCATGTTAGATTTATGAACTAGTTTTCTATGTAAAGCCTCAAACCTATTGATGTGAATTGGAGCGGGGTTGGACAGGAGACGGAACTAACCGCTGCTCCTTGGTATCGCATACTTGGTCCATGTAGTTATGACAAGTGCTAGTAGCAAATCATTAAAGCAGCAAAAACACTATCTGTACTGTAAAGAAAAAGATCCCCTTTGAAGCCAAAGAGGAGTGTTCCTGAATTAATGGAGTGCACCATGATTTTACTAAGTTTTATTTATATAGTTTAAAAAATACCCTCTTTGCCTTCATGCCAGAAAGCTCGAGTGCCGTTGGAAGCAGGGTTCAGACGCAGAAACCTAGCCTAGATTTATGATGTGTTTGAAAACTCAAGGGAAAAAGTACCAACTTGACAATATTTATAACTTTTTGTTAAAATATCTGTTCTATCGCCATGCCTGGAATTCCCCTCCTTTGTAAACACAAGTGCCGGCTACAAACCTTGAAATGTCATAACATGGAGAGACTTAAAAAAAAAACCCCAAAAACTTGTGTTAGAACATCTTGCAAAGTCCAGGATATGTGTGTGTGTTAATTAATGAAAAGTAAAACATACACAAGGGCATATGTTCTTTA